TATGCACGATCCAAAAGAAAAACACATGCAGGCAGTAGAGAGAATTCTTCAGTATCTTAAAGGTACTCCTGGTAAAGGATTGTTATTCCGACGTGATGGCAATCTATCTTTAGAAGTCTACACAGATGCTGATTATGCTGGATCCGTGACTGACCGTCGTTCTACCACTGGTTATTGCATGTTTCTTTGCGGTAACTTGGTGACATGGAGAAGTAAGAAACAAGATGTGGTTGCCAGATCAAGTGCAGAAGCTGAATTTCGAGCTATGGCTCAAGGAATTTGTGAGTTACTGTGGCTGAAAATTGTTCTTGATGATCTCAAAATAAAATGAGAGGGACCTATGAAGCTGCTATGTGATAATAAGTCCGCTATTTGTATAGCTCATAATCCAGTTCAACATGATCGGACTAAACATATTGAGGTTGACCGCCATTTCATCAAAGAGAAACTTGATAGCGGGTTGATTACCACTCCATACATTCCCACTGGGCGTCAATTAGCTGATCTATTAACAAAGGGGCTTCCTTCAGACAGATTTCAAGAACTTACTAGCAAGCTGGGAATGATAAATATCTATTCCTCAGCTTGAGGGGGAATGTTGTAAATAATATTGATTTAGTTTTTATTTAGTCATTTATTGTTGTATTGGGCCAAGCCCATTAGGTTAAAAGTAGGTCAAATATTCTCTATAAATAGAGAACCATTTGTACAGATTATTTACAATTCTATAATATATTAGAATACCCTTTTTCAAGTCAAATCAATTTGATTTAACATCAATACTTTCAAAATTAATTCTACTAGGGCCTAAACTAAGCAAACATTTAGTGGCTCACGACACGTCACTCTAAATTTAATGTTATTTTTATTTTTTCAGCGGTCAATTTCATATTTATAAATCACAACATGATCATTGAGTAATCACATTTTCATATATATATTAAAAAAAAACTACAAATAAAGTGAAAATAGTTATTCACATATATACCCAAGTTAAATTTTCATTTTCTTTAATTAATTTGACTATTGAACTGATGTGGATTATTAAAAAAAAATTATTATTAGTTTTTTACAGTAAGTTGTTCGAGACATAAAAAAGAGAGGCTATTATAGTTCATTTTGTGAACACATATACCTAAAGTTGGGATTTCCCATTTGTTTCTCAACCATGAGTAGTTGAACCGGCAAAGAGAATGTCTAGTATTCAAAGTCAAGAAAACTGTATGATATGCCAAACAAAATGCAAGGAGTAGACTAGAAACACAATCCATTAGATTAAAAAAGAGATACAAGAGAAGAAGAGATAAAAGTCAAAATGATAGATATTATAATGAATAGAATGCCAGCCATTGAGCAAACACAATCCATTAGATTTGACTATATCAAGGGGAATAGACAGGTGGTAGCCACCATGGTCATTGTCATTAGTATTAAGCACGCAGAAGCACCACCCCAAGCCGCCATGTCTTGCATCCACTTACGCGTTTTGTATCACATTTCATTCTATGCCATCAATTAACAACTTTGACTATAGCGTGCGTGCCTTTGTGTTTGCATCTGTGATTTGACTTCATTGTTTCCCATGCTTCCATTTGTTATGTTCCCCTCCCAAATCTCAATTTAAAGGAGGGGGGTTGGAAACATTATTATTTTTTACACTAGAAAAAAATTACCAAATGAATTGGCTTTTTGTGTTTAAAAAAACAAGTCCATTTGACATTTTTTTTAGTTGAATGATTGAGATGGCTTTTTAGATAGATTAAAAAAAAACCCGGGTAGGATTGTTGTTAGATTACACATGAAAATGTATGAAAAAGAAATTATTATGACATCGTACACTTGTTATTTTTTTTTATAGGTAATACAAGCACAAAAAGTCATAATTATTTTCATATTGTTATAGTTTAAGATGCATGCCAATATTTTTCAAACATAAATTCACAAAATTTAGTAACTCTATAAATTAGGTAAACATTTTTGTCAATATATAAAAACACCACTTACAATTACTCCCTTATCTTGTTTTATTTCCTTCAACTCCAAAAAAAAAAAAATTACTCCCTTATCTTACAATATTCCCCAAAGCCACTTTTTTTACCTCTCACATCGATCCTAGTCACTCTGCATACTTTCTTCCTCATTTTTCCCTCTCCAAATCATGATATTTGCAGGCAGAGGTAATCATGATGAAGCAAAATGAGGAGAGGCGCATGAACACTCGAGAAAAAAAAATTACTTAAGAAAAAGTTGGTAGGGTTTTATGTTTGGTATATTTAACGGAGAAAGTTATATTTTCAAACTCTTGTGCAGTCTTACCTGTAAGATATAGTGCAGTTTGTAGGTTTGTAAATTTTTTTTTTTATCAACATAACCTCCTCATATTTCATATATAAAAATAATTAAGTATCAATTTTTTTTAATATTAAATAGATTTTATTTTGACTCCATCTGGCTTAATCAAATTTTTGGACCAAGCTGGGCTTCAGTTGTCCAATCTAATTTATTTGGGCTTAAAACCATATTGCCCAACATATGTAAGGATTGAATAAGTGCGCTAGATGGGTTAGACATTTTTTACGCTGACAATTTGATGAAAAAAAAAGGAACAAGGATTCCATTAAAGCTGTGAAAATGGGTCAGGTCATCCCATTTGACCTTAGCATGTGGGAGTTAAGGCCAAAAAATTCGTAGAGTCAAATAAATATCAATAATCAAGATTCGCACAAGTCAAAAGTCCTATTGGTTAAGTCCAGCTCACGAGACATCTAAAATTATAATTTCATAATTTTTTTGTCATATTCAATAAATTAAAAAATATTTCAACAAATAAATTTTTAACACTTTCTTAACATATTTTATACAAATTATAGAATTTTTATAATTAAATTTTATAATATTTTTACATAAATATATAAGTGAAAATGTAAACAAAATTTTAATATAAGTGAAAATTCAGTTACTACTTTTACTAAATTCATTATTAAATAATGTCATCAGATGAAAATTTTCTCATCGGGAGTCATAACAGAATACAACAATTATAGTGAAAAACTAAAAGTAATGATGAAAAAATTATCTTAATACCAGTATTGAATAACTACTCTTAATATGCTATATATTTGAAAGTAAAATCATTGATTTTCTTTAATTACTACCATTACAAAAAAACTTTTTAGTTATTATTATCCACAAAATTACTAAAGTGCATTGTATACAATATGTTTCAATACAAATTTGGATGTATAACATGCTTAGATGTCAATAGAAATTTTATTTATTTTTATGCGCAGACGAAAATCTCTGTTAAAATATATCAAAATTCATTTTTGTTGTAAAATATTATGGATGAACTTTCAAATGGTTCATAACACGTGACTCTTTATTTTTCATGACCTTTGATATATTCTATAATCATCACACTAATGGTGTGTTGAATTGTAGAATACATCCAAAGGGGTATTGTAAAATATTATGGATGACCTTTCAGATGGATTATAGATGACTTTTCACATAGATTATAAATGACCTTTCACATGGTTCATAAGATGTGACTCCTTATTTTTTCATGACTTCCATGTTTTAAAAATACATTATATAAGACTCTTTGCTTATACTTATTCTTATTTTTATTCTCTCTTTTATTTTTTTTCTACACTTCATTATCCTTTCTTTCATATTTCACTTTCTCTTATATTCTTCATCAAATCCACAATAATGTTTACTTATATTTATAAATTTTAAATAATGAAAATTTTGATTAAATAAAAAGTTTGACCCGCGGGCCTGCCCGCTAAATTATAGGACTTTAAGGGTTAGGGCTAAAAAATGTTCTACCATAAAAAGGCCCTAATGAATTAGGGTCAAATATAATACTTTGCGGGCTGAACCACAGACTTTAACCCATTTTGACATCTCTAGATTCCATGAATATTGTCATGAAATACGGATTCCTTCAATTGTATAAAACTAGAAATGTTTATTCTCTTAACAATGCTCATTCTTGTAAAATAAATTTTTTTGACTGACCTAGGATTAAAATAAAATTCTATTAATAAGGACACAAAAAAATATTTTGATAAAAAATATATTTATCTAAAATATATTTTAGAAAAAATAAAGATATATAAATTAAAATTTTGTCCTAAATTTGTTAATAAAAAAAGGGAAAATATTTTTTAATGGGTTTGGTATTTATCATTTTAAATGACATAAGTTATATCATTTTAAGAGAGTGATAGACACAATAAATGAAAATCATGGGAGAGAAAGTGTGTGGTTTTTTTAATTTAAACTTTAAATAAAAAATATTTTATTGTGTCTATCTCTCTTGAAATGACATAACTTTATGTCATTTAAAATGACAAACACTTTTTCTTTTTTTAATATAATTTTTTATAAGAGAGGTTATACTTACTATTTTTTTTTTTACTACTTGTTACTAGCAAATCTTAATCGTTGATTTCCGTCAATCTAACGGTTGTAATTAATGAGATTATACTTATTAATTAATTATTAATTTGCAATAAATTATAACCGTTAGATTGACAGAAATCAACGGTTAAGATTTGATAGTAACAAGTAGTAAGAAAAATAGATAGTAAATATAATATTTTCCAATTTTTATTTTTATATATATATAGGGGAAAACATATATCCTTTTAAAGGATATAACCTTATATCATTTTAGATCCTAACCGTTGATTTCCGTCAAACAACGGTTATAATCTATTGGGTCAAACTTAATGGGCCAAATTTATTATTAATTAATTAATAATTTTGATCCAATAAATTATAACCGTTGATGGACAGAAATCAACGATTATGATCTAAAATGATATAAGCTTACATCTTTTAAAATGACAGATGTTATTCCCATATATATATATATATATATATATATATATATATATATATATATATATATATATATATATATATATATATTTTTTTTTTGAATAACTATATCAAGTTAGGGTTTAACGAAACATCGGTTAAGTGGCTGCTTGTCGTGTGACCTATATATATCATCTTCTCCCTTTTGAGTTAGGGTTTACTTGCAACTGCAGAACGTTCAATCCCCCACCCTAGTTTCTTGCAAATCCTTCAACGGTGATTAATCGGTGGATCAAGTATGGACAAGAGCATGTTAGCAGATATGGAATCGCTTGCTGAGGAAGATAAACAAAGAATGACTACCATGATCGATCAACTCCAAATCCGTGACAGGTTCCTCCATTATCGCTTTAAAAATTTGATCTTTTTTGTTGCTTACGCCTCAAAATTGGTACATTTATTAGTTTTTCTTCTTTTCAAAGCGTGCAATGTTTAGGGGATTACATTTAATGTCAGTTTCGGTGAAGATTATTATGCTTATGTTGTAGGAGCGTGATGTGTTGACTTCCTTTGAGATTTTGGGGCTTCGTAATATTTTTATGTCAATGGGAGCACAATAGTTTTAAATATTGTGTGCGCTCCTTTTTGTGAAGCCATAGTAAAGTTCTCCTTAAAACCAGCACAACATTTGAATGTTGCTTCTGGACGTTTTGGGAACAACATTTGTTTGATTAGGTTTCTTTTTCTATAGTTGATTGTTGGGGTCACTGACTAGTTTCTGCAAGCACTGGTCTTGTCCTGAATCTAAGTTCTGGTCCAATGTGTTTAGAATTGGCATTGTTCATTGCACAGACGCTGTTCTGTTTTGTTAAAGGAATAAATTGCATTCAATGAATCAATTCCCCCCTTTTAGTCTCTATTTTGATATTTATTTTGTCTGAAAAACGAGAATTGTTGAACATGTGAATACCCTTATGTTTTAGATTATGATATCTTTGCTATGTATCTTCGTTGAAATGTAAGTGATTGAACATATTTATAAGTTTGTACTTTAGATTATGACATAGTTGTGTGACAGAGTACTGATTGAAGAGGGATTAGATCATGAAGGGGTTCTTGTATTTTTTGGCGTTGTTTCAATATGTCATTTCCTCTTATAGTTGACCTCATTATGATTTAAATTTCATTGCAGTTTGAGAATGTATAATTCCCTGGTGGAGAGATGCTTTAATGATTGTGTGGACACATTTAAGCATAAATCCCTGCAAAAGCAAGAGGAAACCTGTGTTCGAAGATGTGCAGAGAAATTTCTGAAACATTCAATGCGTGTTGGCATGAGGTTTGCGGAGCTCAACCAAGGAGCTGCAACTCAAGATTGATGATGTCTGTTTAACATGAAAACTGTTGATTTTTTTCTTTTCTTTTTTTGTTTTAGATTATGTTCGTTTAATTATATTTTTGCTCTTGAAGATCGAGACAGTGTAGAGACGTGGATTTCTTGGTTGTTTTGTGTACTACACTATACTTTATGCTAAATAAATTCGTAAAGATACAATCACTGCGCTTTAGAATCCTCATGGTGCTTGATTGGCTTTATTCACAAAACATCTTTTCCCATTTCTATGGAGAGATAATCACCATTAGGCCTAAACTTCCCCTTTTTTCTCCATTTATCCATCTAAGACACAAGTACTTTATTATTTTGTGAAAAAAAGTGCCAAATTGAAGCAGGAAGCTCTGGTTACCCATGGTGCTGCTTAATGCTCTATTTGTTGAGGTTACACGTGTTTGTTAATCCTTCAAATAGTGCAGATAATAGCTTTTATTACTCTATTGGTCAGTTAGCAATGCTCAAACGAAAGACTGACTAGTAAAGTTAAACCAGGTTGCCCAAGAGGAACGCGAACTGTAAGAAGAGATTTTATTACTTTTGTAATGTAATATCTAAGGTCCGTTTGAATAGGCTTTTGAAAAAAAGACTTTTTATGAGTTGTTTTTTTTGTAATTTTTTTTTTTAAAAGGTAAAATTATTTTGCGTTTGGATGCAATATTAAAAAAGTACTTTTAATAAAAATGTCATTTGGATATTAAAATAAAAAAGCACTTTTAACTATGAAATTATTCTTGTGCCATTTCCTCGTGCATTTTGCCTGTTGTCCTTCCCAGTTAGGTTTCAAGAGAAGTTTCAACTCTGACGTGGAAAGTTTTCTGCCATGGCTGAAAAGGGATTGTGATTTTGTGGAGAGTTTTCCGCTGTGGTTGAAAGGGGATTAAAGAACTGAATTTTGGTGGTGATTTGGAAGTGGAGGATGCGATCCCTACCCATAGAATCTGAAACCCTAGTTGTTGAGAGAGAGAGAGAGGCATTTTGTTTGTTCAGTCACTGTTTAGCGGCAACAGCTATAGCCATGGCTACTGCGAAGAATATGAAGGACGTTTCACCGCACGAGTTCGTCAAGGCTTAAGTAAAGACCAGCTTTCCTGTTATGGGTTTTAATTAAAGACCCTTGGAAGAGAGAAAGTTCAGAAGGGAAACGAAGATCGAAGGAACTGAGGGGGTAGAGGGTCATTCTTGCTTCTAGCTTCTCCTTTTTGTAAAAGCTAAAAAATTCAGCTTCTCAAAAAAGTTAGATTTTAGCTTTTTTACTAACTTCTACTTTTTTTGTAAGTTACTATCCAAACATTGAAAAAAGTTTAAAAGCACTTTTTTTTTTAAAAAAAAACAGCTTTTGTGAATGGAGAAGTCCATCCAAACATGCTCCTTAATTCCTATTCCAATCACCTAACCAAACATGAATGAATAATTTTCTTTTCTATTCTTAGTCGGTTAGTCCATTCCTTTGGATCAAACATGCTTTAGAATCTTGGACTCTTTTTCTCCAAATAGGTTTCTTCCAAGAATTTCATGTTATGTTTGGTGTACGGGATATTAATTCCATTTCATAGTTAGTTATAAGGAATGAACATTTTCATATTTGTTAACAATACATGAAATGGTAATTATGTATTAAGATGTGTAATTGGTGATTCTATGCTTCATAAATTGATATTTAATTTTGTGTTCTTAAAATTTTCTCATTATTTTATAAAATAACAATCATTACCTTTTGTAATCTATTTTATTTAAATTTCAATTTTATTCTTGATCTATCACTGGGGTGTAAATGGCCCGAGCAGCTTATCAAGACCTAAGGCTTGACTTGCTTTAAGCTTGACTTGGCCTGACTTGTTTAATAAATAGAAAGGGTTCAAACTTTAAATAAAGTTTGTTTAGAAAACAAGCCAAGCCTAATTTAATGAGGTTTGGCTTGAAAGCTTGCCTAATATATTATTATAATAAATAATATATTTTTACGTCACTAAATCGTTAACCCTACTTTTGTAACCCTATTTTTTTTACTATTATCTACTGCCATTCTCTCATGGTCACAATTTCACAAACAAGCTCGTTGACTATTAGTCTTTCATTTTCTCCCTCGGTCACTCACATTTCCTCTCTCTGAGTGGGTTCTATGATTGTTTTTTCTCTAACAAAGGAATACAAAATTTGATGCATTTATAGTCTCAACATGTGAACATATGTGAGTTTGGAAAAAAAGTCAAGCCTTTAATTATAAACAAGCCAATCCAACCTAGAATTTAGTTCGTACCAGGCTAATGTGCCAAGTCAAGCTCAAAATATTTTTCATAGACTTGGCTCGTTAAAAGAAAAGCTTGGTTCGACCTAATTCATTTACACCCCTATCTATCTATCACTCATGTCTTGCAATAAATTTTAATGTCATATTAAATTTACAAGAAAAAAATAATTTCACTAAAATCTAAAAAAAAAAAGTTTGAAAATATAAAAGTATATTATAACAGAATTATTAACTTAAATATCAAAAAGAAAATATTATAAAAAAATATTAAAATAAAAATTAATTTCTAACTGAGAAAAGTTAACAATTTTTTACTCATTTAAAACAAGTTTGATTTAAATTTATATTAACTTCATATACTAAACAATGAATGAATAGCCCACAAGTTAGCAAACAGGGACTAGGAAAAGTAATGGATAATAGGTAGATCGTGTTAGAAATAATCAAGTATGAGTTATAAAGAAGTACCACATAGACTAGACATAGACCAAGTGATGACCATATAAGTGTGAAAGACCCATGAGATTCTCTAGAAGAAATACGGAGTTCTGAATGCAGCCTTAAGATTTTGGGTTGAGATGTGGTGTCGGCCCACTTATAATAGTTTGTCATTTGGCCCATTGGTGGATGTACCCTTTGCAAAGGGTTTTGGGCTCCCTCGTTCCATTTCCAACAATGGTATCAGAGCCAACGATTTAGCTGGGCCAAGTGTTTGGAAGGCCTCTGCAGAAGGCTAGTGTGACCCTAATATTTGAAAGAGAAAAAAAAAAGACTTCCGCAGAAGTTGCCCTTCGAGTAAGAATGATATTGGGCCTCACACTTGAGGGAGGATGTTGGAAATAATCAAGTATGAGTTATAAAGAAGTACCACATAGACTAGACATAGACCAAGTGATGACCATATAAGTGTGAAAGACCCATAAACCTGCAGCCTTAAGGTTTTGGGTTGAGATGTGGTGTCGGCCCACTTATTATGGTTTGTCATTTGGCCCATTGATGGATGTACCCTTTGCAAAGAGTTTTGGGCTCCCTCCTTCCATTCCCAACGGATCGGAAGAGTGATTAGCACAATTTTGACGGTTTTTGTGTTTATCGTTGGAATCGAAACAAAAGTAGAAACATGAGCAGGAAATTCTTCGTTGGTGGCAATTGGAAATGCGTATGTTTTTGACACGTGAGGTTGAGCTATGAACCTGTCTTACGAACCATACTAAAATCGATTTATTTTTTTGTTTTTGAATTCATGTACGATCTTATGCCTTGTATGTTTCATTTATCAAACAATTAATTACACCCTTGTGATCCTTGAGATATGAACAAACAAAGCATCCAATTGAACTTATTGTGACGGTCTTCAATGAAAACCTTACGCTGCTAGTATTTTTGTGCTTATTCATGCGTAATATATTGGCATTCCTTATTGCTTGTTATAACTTGTTTTGTGGATTTGCTTATTATTGCACCTCGTTATTTAAAATCAACTCGGGTTCAGAAATCTCTTGAAGTGATGCATAATTGATGTTTCAAATTGACTTTGTTGTAGAATGGGACCACTGAAGAGGTGAAGAAGATTGTTACTACTTTGAACGAAGCTCAAGTTCTCGGGGGAGATGTTGTGGGTGAGTCAAGCTTTTTTATTTCACGCTAAGCAAGATTTATACTTGGCTCACTTTATGCTAGACTTTGAAAGTTTTATCTGGATAGTTTCATTATTAATTTGGACCATAGTTTGGTTTGATTATTCTAATCACCAATCACCGAGTGCTAAGCAGTTCTTATTCCGTTCATTTTATTAATACAAAACCACAAATCATCGATTTTTTTAAGGCATAAGGAAAACCCCTTCTAGCAATGCCATTTTTGAGGATCTGGACATGTAATTAAATGAATTGTTTTTCATATGCTTGTACTATCTACAATTGTTTAGAATTTGCACTTAAAATTTTTTTTTTTTATCTAAAGAGCAAGTTGCTGTCAACCACGGAATCTATGGCATTTGTTTAACTGATATCATATATACATTTATCCGTCACTCTTGGTCACTCTGAAAGAAGGCAGCTTTTAAATGAATCAAATGAGGTACAAAATGTTCAATTGTCTTTTTTGCATCTTTTTAAATGTTTCCTTTATTTTATGTTTTGTTATAGATTTTACTCATAGAATCACTTGTATTAACAGCCAAGTTTAACATATGTAACCTTGTTTGTGTACTTCTTACTTCCTCACTGTCTATTACAGTTTGTGGGAGACAAAGTTGCATATGCACTTTCACAAGGTTTGAAAGTCATTGCTTGCATATGCACTTCCTCACAGTCACTGTTGTTGCTGAACAAACAAAAGCCATTGCTGGTACCTTTATTTCCCATTTTTGGGTTTAATGGTCTACATTTTCATTATCTCAGTCCTTTGTATGTCTTTTCTCTGAGAGATTCTGTTCTCACAAATATTGTATTGCAGTTCTTTCTATTTTATTGGCAACCAATATTTTTGCTAACCATAATTATGTTTGCAGCTAAAATATCAAACTGGGATAATGTTGTTTTGGCTTATGAGCCAGTTTGGGTCATTGGGACTGGAAAGATTGCAACTCCTGCTCAAGCACAAGAGGTAGGCTTGGGTATATTCATTATTAACATTATTGTTTTAGTGAAATTTTTATGCTACCATGGCTTTTATAATTTGTTCTAGAATTCAATTTCTGCTTATAATCTGAATCTGACTTTCGCCTTAAAAATGTAAGGAACGATAATTGCAAGTTTACTTTTCAATGTTCGGATATCATTTAGAGTTGAGGTTAGCACTGTCTAAAACCTTTTTATTCTTTGCTCTTTTGCAAATTGGACTGTTGATGTGTCTCCTTCCAGCCAGCCATCTAAGTAGCGAGTCTTATACTAATATTTTATATCGTTTTGTCTTGATGATGTGTTTTGG